TCGCTCCCAGAGTCATCAAGAGTTCCTTTTGGCAGGGCCCGACTGCCATTTCATAAGGTGCTGATCACCTAATGGTAAAAACAAGTTAAAGGAAAGTAATTTTGGGATATTGTGAGTGATACTTGATTTAAACAATCGCTCTTTAGACAATTAACTTCAGCGTCTGGTGTGGCTGGGAACGAATCTGCTGCTGGTTGATTTTGATAGCTTTACGGTTGGACAAGGACAATAAACTGTACATTGGCTTACTACCTAAAGTGTGTATTAAATGATTGGGGAAATTTTAGGATGTCACCCATTGCCTGAGGCAACGGTAGTCGAGGACTGGGGGTTTCATTGCCCTCCTAGTAAACAAATTATGAAAACCAACGATTGCGGTATCAAGTGGGTTGGTTTGCCACAACCGGTATCCGTCACACAATGATTAGGCTAGTGAGCCCATGTGTCCTTTTTTAGTCATCGCTGTTTTAGAGAAGAACTACCTTTGGCTCATTTTAGGCCGGAATCGAAGCCTTGCTCATGCCCTCACAAGAAGTTCGTAAACTAGACGCGTACGGTCTGTCGATCTAATTGATATGGTTGGTTTACCAATCATCGGTTATTTTGTCCGTCCTTACTGTATGGTTATTTTCTTAGAGATTTTTACTAAGAAGTTGGTATTGACGTTGTCTGCATCACCAGTTGTCAGTTCTAATTCGGATACACTGGAACTTGGACGCACATGCAAAGTGCTATCCGACTTCGCAAGTTTGAATGAAGCGAAAGGCAGAGTAAGGGATTCCAAGGACTGTTTGAAACCTTGAGATTCGAAATAGAAGGGTGCTAATGATGTAAGATGCAACAGCGCTGTCATCCTGACTTGGGATGCACTCAGACGGCATTACCAATAACTACCAATAATTGTGTGGCCTGGAAGTCATAAGCACTCCACTAGGGTGGGCAAGTGCGATCTTCTTGAAGACTCCTCTCTTAGAAACAATTGTCTACAGTAATACAAACAGTTTTGAGACCAATTAATTTCGATTCGCTCTTGAAGACACATTATTAGAAGCACTCTTTTGAATAGTGGAAACAGCACAAGGTGTCCATTCAGAGTCGGGAACAACCCGTTAACCTGACAGAGATACAATAATGATCCATCTGATAGCTTCGCTTAGGGAGTTCTCACTTGGGTAAGCCCCCCCCCCCTCAGTGTGATATTTCTTAAGAGGATTACCGCACAGCGTCCCACTATTTCGGTTTACAATACTGTTACAAAACGTCAGAGCCTAATAAGAAGATCTGGAGGTAAAACTTTCTCACCTGCCTTCCAATAGGTCTTGGATACCGCCCCGATGAATGCGGTACAGAACATCCACAGTTGCACCTTTTACGCTCTTGGTACGGTAGCTTTCTTGCCCATTCTCTATCCAGTTCGTCCGCGATCGCAGTGAGCTGAAGAACAATCATGGTTTCCAATCGTCTCGATTTCGGTTCTTCATCAATTAATCTGTAGCTCGTCATTCTGTAAAGCAACATATAGGAAAAGTTCTTAATTGCGCAACCGAACGCTTTCGAGTGCCAACACAACTCAGGTCCGTTTGATTCCAAACAGCATATGGAAGCAGGTGAACATATCCCAGAAACAGTACACAGGGCCTCGTACTGCATGCAAAATATTAAGTTTCTTGTTAGCGTCTCCGGTAAATAGCATTAGACACGATGAAGTTTGGTAGTTTGGCTGATTCCCACTCAGTACCAGCAGAAGACATGTTTTATTTATACTGATTCAACATGCAGGTAGTAGAATGTAGCGAACGACTGTTCGTGTTCGACGGATGCGAATTCGAAGAACTCAAAACAGAGTAATAATTACATGATGAGTGGATGTTTTGCACTAAAAATGGTGACAGTGAGTGCTCTGCACGTATCAGGTTTTAAACTAAAGTAATATTTATCGTATATCTCACGACATAATTATTTTGGGTTCTCATGATTTATACGATCAGTTCACTCTCTTTTGTTTGAGTAGTTATCGATGTGCATCTTCAAAAAATGGTCACCAACGTACCTTTTATGAATTTACTTTCTCGAAAACTGGGTGCATTGTCCAGTGTTGCTGTATATATTCGTTCCAGATACTGAGCGAAGACCCATGACCTTCATACACTTATCCGGTTTCACTAGCCACACACCCACAAAGTACATGCGCCATTGTATCTTTGATAGGCCACACAGGTGACTACCACACATTACCCCAATCTGACGTGAAAGTGATAAACAATGGTTTTCGCGAAAAAAACGACTAGCAGGGTTGAAAACCAATGACAGTTCGACAGTAAATATCCCTTCTCATTGGCAGCCACACCTAGTTTGTTTATGCAATGTATTGACCGTGAGTTCAAAGGCTGGCTGACATACAAAAAACACTCATACCACGGTGACCTACCAGACACAAAGCAAGTAACTTGTTTATCAGTGCCTTTCTGATGGATATGCATTGATTGTGTCCACTGACAGTACCAAATAGACCAATCAAACGCCTCCCCAGCGAAGATCACAAAGACCTGAAGGTCAGGTTGTAAGCTGATAAGGCTACGAAACAGGTATGGGGAGAAAGGCAAATGCTTGTGTGGCTCATTTTGTTGTTCGCGAAAACTCACGCGCACAGCTCGAATGATGGGTGCAACAGTACGCTTATGTTTGGGTCAGATATTTTGGAAGATTTTGGAGACTACGATAATGTATGAGAGGTCCCCGTACTATTGTATGACTAGCAAAAAAGCAAAGGTGTATAAATGCATCTAAAATTTGTATTTGTACTTTAAGGATACTTAAGAAATGTCTACATGGGAAAAGAAACAGGATGACAACACATGCAACCAATAGGATAGTTGAGAGACCACCAGCGGGGGTTCAAATAACCTAACCCTCGATCAGTAGTTAATGTAGCTACCAGGGATACAGTGTGTGATATAGTTATTAGAGTAAAGCGTATCTGGACTGCCATAATGATCCTGCTCACCACAGAATATCTCTTGTAGTACACGCAATCACAGTAGACCAACGGTGAACAGACGCTATCATTAGGTTTTGGATTAAGCCGACAGTGGTAGCACTTACCTTGTTGATGTCCAGTAAATCCTTGCGATAAAAAAAACCGTGCAGCGTGCAAATTACTTGTCAGCTCGCAGCACACCACGTGACAATTTTTGACGGAATCGGTGAATGACGCATCTTTATAAGGTTCGAGATTTAAGGTCACGCTAATGGTGTGCTTGAGAGATGATTGGTTGTCAGGTCATCTGGCATGTGTGACTCGTCCTGGAATTTCCGGTCTCGTTGGTGTGCTTTTCTGCCCCCATGACAAGAGCTAGGTTGGTGTCTGAGCGACCTGGCCAGTGGAGGCTAGACAAATTGGGTGGCCAAACAGCCAATCGTCAGCAAGGCTGTGATGAACCTTTGCAGTACGAAACCAAACAAGTCTCATCCCCCTGCTGAGTGCCTGAATCAGTACTGCTGTGTCTCGATAGGGGAAGACGCGGAGAGGGGAACAATATCCAAAATTCTAACAGGAGGTTGGGCGAACGAAAATAAATGGCTACATGTGGTGCATGAGGGGTTAATTCTCGTAGTGTGAACGTAAATTATACCCGAACCCAGGTATGAAGCAGGCCAGGACCTAGTTACCGTTTAGCGTCAATTGGTAGAAAACGGTGTACTGCCATACGCATCGGTCTGAGTTTAATTTACGCACAAAGTTCTGGTGTGTGGCAGTAATGAACAACGTAGCAGGAAGGGGGTTTTAATTGATCTTTTTGTTGTACTTTATGAGAAAGTGTGACACCGGATTTTAGCTTTTGTTTACAGTGCAGATAAAACTTATCGCATCCATCAGACTCCTGTCAAGTTATGTAATCTTCCAAGTTAACCTCTGATGCACAAGTGATTCCATCCTAAGCAGCAGTCGAGGAGGCAAAGACTGTGCGGTTGGTGTATGGTCAACTCGCAAACCATCTGGCAATGGGTTTTCCTTGTCGTTTGGTCATAATTTTTGGCTTGGTTGTTGTGTATAAAATCGGTCAGCTGTAGTACCCTTTCGGTGCCTAGCTGCCATGCCACCAGAAGGAAGCACGACAGCTGGGATACTGCCAGGATACTGTCCAAGCCCAGAGAGGGAAAGTCAAGAGGCAGAGATCGGGTTCGAATTACAGCGCTTCCCGTCAGTAAATTCGCGCTCTAACCACTGAGCCATCTTGTTATGCATTTCCTAGCTCGAATAATCGTTCGTTTCAGAAACAGTATACCAAGCTGCTGGACGGATGACGAAAGAGATTTTTCAGTTTGCTAGTAAACTTTCCGCCACGAAGTTGATGCATCACTGTAAGTGTATGTGCATGTACAGTACTATTCCAACTTCACAAGAGTGATGAAAACTCTCCGACGGATCGTTTCTGGTTTCGTCCATTTATCTGTTTATCAGATGAGTGGAATATTTGAACGTGATTGGATCATTATGTTGGCTACTCCGAATAATTCGGTGCTGTTTACTTGATTAACAGTGATGATACTGATAAAAATGAATGCTGTTTTTAGTCAGTTAGATTAGCCAGAACTAAAGCGGCACAACTAAACTTTCGGACTAGTTTGATTTGTTTTTAAAATCACACGAAATGTTCACCCAATGGAACCGATCATATTATCTACCACAAACAAGCAAGAGTCATAACGCACAGATATCACTGTGGATGGGGCAGAATGTGGGTCCACTTTCCATCAATTCTTGTGCACGAATTTCAGCGGTTTTTGTGCGACTTTCCTGACACGCCGTACTATAATTTTGTCGCTCAAAGCATTGAAATAACCAGGCATGTCATAGATTACTGTGCAGTGGTTTTTCGGTGATTCCTTCAAAAATTCCAAAACGCAGCCAGTTAACAGTGGTCCAGTGAATTTTCGAAAATTATTGATATAAATGCGGTATTGATGGCGAGTTTGAACTCAAGCTGTACTCGTTTTAATCGCAAGTTGTATAAATGCAAACAAGTCTTGTTTGACAATGTTTCAAGGACATTAAAGGAAAAAACGGTATACAAATAGTAATTTCCGGCAAGAATAGGGGTCTTGAAAATGTCGGCTTTTTCATGACTGACAGCCGACTAATTTGTCAAAATATTGGACTATGAATTCAATAGTTTTCTAAGTGTTGCATTTTGCAAGTGGGGCTGTAAAGCCAGTCACTTACTGTGACGTTTTCCACTAAAACTGACAGTTCTGTTTCCACAAACCAAACATCTGGAACGTTTTCTATCAGTTAACGCTAGTCATCGCAATGTATACAGCTTCAATCTGGTGGTATTTAAGCCGATGCTGTCTCATTCGTTGTTTCTCATTTTACTGAAAAAATTTCACCATGGCTGAAGCCTCGCACTAGTTCTCATGAGAGAGCGAAAAATCCACTCATGTACTTTGCAAACTTTTCTTGACCTGCGACTAAGTGAAGTGTTTTCCACTTTCAATGATGCATCCCAATGAACGGAAGTGACCAGGATTCAGTGCGCGCAATCCTACCAGGTGCAAAATTCTACACGCAACAGTCACGTGTATTCTGCCACTTGTGAACGGCTTAACTTCGTCAGAGCGAACTACTTAAAACAAAACAGCGATTTGTTCTGAAAGCCTTTAGCCAATAAACAAACGGAAGTTACTCTCCAATCGTCCGGGGTTGTTTGTCACAAACAAGGTTGAGAAAAAGACTGATAAAGTTGTAAGTTTGCCTAATTAGCTGTGATTACAATCAAATCTACCGTCTCTTGTAATGAAGTGTCGTTCCTTCAAGGTCACCCATCCACAGGTGGTACATAAAATCATGTGCGCAAACTGACCGTTGTAGTTAGACTAAAATCATACTTTCGCGATTTCCTCAACTGGATAGCCTTTTTTTGCTGATGCTTGCAGACGGTCCTGTCGACAAAGACGAATTTGAATTTTGGACGGAAGCGTTGTGTGCTAGTCTCCAAGTAAACTGGAACACTTGCAGCGCATTACTATGTGGGCAACACTGCCATTGCATATGGTCTAATTTGTCGCTCCAAACAATCACTTTTGAGCGAAATACACTGATTTGCAAAACAATTTGGTTTTGTGGGAGATTCACCTGGAATCCAAGAAAGGCGAAGCCGCTCGTAGGCTTTCGAAGAATTTTCAGCAACCTTATGAGCAGTGTATTGCCTATAATCCAACGACTTTTCTCACCTTCCTTTCAGCTAATACGTAGGATAACGATGTCAAGCATGAAATCATTCACATTTCCCTCGCTTTTACAGATGTGATTCTTGGGGTGTACAACTGATAGTCAGGACGCACGTTTGTAAGCATAATTTCATGTTGATGACCAAACTGAACACAGATAAAAGACCTAATGAGGTTGAATACGGAAACTTTAGAGTGACTTTATGTAATGATTGAGTGGAACTCAGGAAATATCAAACGAGATTTCATTCCGAACACCTTCATATGGAGTAGATAAAGCGGCGGATTTGCTCATAGCCAGCTCTTGACAAACGGCTCGGGTAGAGTTCTACTGCATACGATAAGAACATCCTACTGTCAGTGATGTCTTGTTGATCCAGTAGGGGTAAAAGACTTTGCCTTGCTGTTCCTTGTTCGATGTGAAAATAGTTCAGAAAACATTTTCACACAAGAATCGAAAGTGACAGTATCAGGTACTATTCAACAAACAGTAGTGAGTGCAAGTTTATTAATCCGCCTCACCTCTACTCACTATTACTGTAAGTTCAGGAACTATTGTAGCCACAGGCTATAGCATTAAATAAACGTCCGAAATGCTGCAGTATATTGTATATACAATGGACTTCAACTAATGAGCTCCCCAAACAGTAGCACTTTATTCAGGTGCCGTAAGATTGGGTCTCACATTCAGGGGCCAGCCGTACCAGGTGTGTCTCAAGATAAGAGGTACTGGCAGTGGGCTGTCAAGCGGCTTTCAGCAACCATGTGAGTAGTGTGCTATTTCAGGGAAATGAACTGGAGTATCTCAAATAGCGTGTCAGGCAATCTTCGTGCTGTATATTCAGTTGGTGAGTATCGCAAACGGAACTGAACGGAACGGAACGCAATTGTAATTCACTTCAAATCATTCCAAGCTCAAACCGCTAGTTTTTGGAAATATAAATGCGGGCTTGATTTTGAGTGACGAGCTGAACATCTGCGGCAAGGTTCATCAAACGTAACTTTGTTCGCCTAGCCAGGTCACTGCAAGGAGGTAACTAATATTAGTTTGTTTTGGAAGGAATTTTTCTGTTTCGTGAATCAAACAAAGTGACTTGTCTCTGGGTCTGGCTTTTCCTGAAGGGAGTCTCTTCAGATTCGGATGTCTAAAATTGCAAAACCATGACTGCTACTTCTGTAGATTTTCATAACACGGGGCCATTAACTTAAATATCGCATGGTAATATAATATATAAACAACCTGCATAACGGTATAGAAATAACATAGCTTTATGGAGTCTTGATACTAGATCTGTCCCCTGTTGAGTAAGCAACCCATGGTAGGCATTCTTCCTCACACAATCTACTTTTGTCTGGTCACTTACATCCCTTTTTGCTGATTGAGGGCTTTTCAGAAGAGAACTTCCAGAAAAGAGCACTTTGCTCCAAAAAGGTTTCCTCGCAGCCTAAGAAAACTTAGTTTACGAGAACTAAACTCGTTTGCAAATCAATTTGGTTTTCACGAGAGACTCAGATGAATCTCTCGTTTATGATATTCTACAACTGAAGGGCCTTCAGCAAACTTGTGAGTAGTTTTCTTTATGAAAAAAACTCTGTTTACCTTCAGCTGATATGAAAGCTGTACCGACCGACCAAACAAACACATAAGTGGCATTTTTTACTCGGACACCGTAGTCCTCCAGTCTATGAGGGCCACTCCTTACAGGCACAGAACTGGCAGTTTTTTAAATTGGTTTTCATGGATGGTGATGATATGAGTAGGCTCATACAATATGAGTTGGTGAAAAACTTTCAGATACGCGTATGATCATGTGAATGGGGCAAATGATAACAGTAACTATTTATAAGGTTGCTGAAAGCTCTTCAACAACCTCCTAGCGGTTTCGCCTTCATTGGGGCTCATCAAGTAGGCTCAGTCTTTGATTTTTTCTCAAACTTATGTTCCACTTTGAATCCAAAGTGCCCAAGAAATATCAGAAATGAGAAATGCACGTGATCCTCCCTTGAAAACAAAATAGATATGCAGATGAGTGCATTTGTCTCAGGTCATGATGATTTTACGGAGACCAGTTTGTCCCCAAAGCGCGAGTGTGTGTGTGTGTCAACCCATAGTCTAAGGCAACGTAACCAGAAGTCATTCTCTTAATGCCACATCAGTACAACGACCCATTACTTTTGCGGTAAATATACACTCATGTATTTCTGACCGTTGATATATGGGGAAATGAAAATTGCTACAATACGATCAAACGCAAATTCGGATCCAGTCTATTGTTTATAATGTTATTCCAGCCAGCAGTTTCCAGTGGAGGCTTCCCCTAACAAAAGTGTCCTAACTTCTACAATATCAAGGATTTTGGTGAACGAAGTTGGTAATTGCAATTGTTGCAGAGTAAGCAGAATTTGTCACTGTATTAGCCCTAGTGTTTCGCTGCATTTCTATCACCCAAATAGGAGATTGCCACTTGCTTGTACGACGTTCTTCTCTACAGTAAGATAATTGTAATTGATCCTTGTCATTTGTATTGGCACTGGGAGACTAGTGTATTTTTTGTATTGAAATACGTTCCCGTTGTTTTTGTATTTTGTAACATAACGTGATTAAAATAATCGGTCGGCCGAGTACTGTTGTGTTTGAACCCAACAGTCTTCACTGTCTGATTGATAAACTGAGTGATGGACACGTGTCGCGAATGTCTTCAGTACAGCTTCACATAAGCACATCCTATAGTGACCTAGATAAATCGTGTTGAGCTGACGATGGCCGGGAACGTAGAACAACGCAGACGAGTAACTTCTACAATTGTGCCGGTGTTTGACGTTACGTGTACCCGTAATAGTCAAGTATTATTATGCTGGTTTGTGATAAGTTTATGGCAGTCATCACACTCTTCACGTGTCTCAACAATAGATGCCAGCATAACGTGATATGCCTGACCCGACATGACCCCAACTGTTGTAGGTGTGACAGAGTAAATCTTCAGTAGGCGTTCCGAACATCAAGAAAAACACTTTGATGTCATGTGGCTTGAAGTGTTCCAGCTTATTTCTCAAACATTATTTTTATTTTGCTGTTACAAAGCTTGCAAGCAAGAAAATTAAAATGCTGCCTCACTATGAGCTCGAGATGGCTCAGTGGTTAAAGCGCAGATATTATTGACCAGAGGGTCTGTGCTTTGAAGCCAAATTTTTTTTATCTCGACTGCTCCTGTCTAGAATTGGGCAACCTGGCCAACCCTCATGCTTTCTTCGGATGGCAAGACAGCTCAACAGTGAAAGATTTTACGGTGGAACGATTATATCATTTTTAACCGGATAGGTGAATAATCCGAGACGATATGTAAGACCTAGCTCTGCACGTGTAATTTAACACGCAGGTCTACATTAAGATGAATGATCCTCAAAAGAGTTTCACTATTTGACCTGTTTTGATCATTAAATGTATTTCGTTCGTTTCAATGGTTAAGCTGAGTCAGATGTGAACCTCACGATGTGGTTATTTACAACTGGGAATTTTCATCGGAGCTATTCAAGCACATTCTGATAAATGAAGATCAGGAGCAACATAAATTGTGGAATACAGTATTCGTCTCGGTGGTTTTAGGGGGTTTAAATCAACGGGACATTGTTTAACCTGTGAAGTCATAGAGATTTTCAGAACTGCGTCGTAATTCCGCACTGTGGGTAAGAGTTTTTTTTATCGGTATCCCTATCTCATGATCATTAAGTTACGGAGAAAGGCACACCACGATATCAGGAAAGTCATCCATGGAAATACAGTTAGATAGATTGTTTCACAGTACCCGTAACGTCCTCCTCATGGTACACTGCCTGTTCGTAATGTTCTTCTGTCTTGAAGTAGACTGCTGAGTCAGCCAAAGGGTTCATTGTTTGATAGAGCCATTGCGGCGAAGCATCCAAGGACCATAATGTAAGCCGGTAATTATTTTAGTAGGCAAATTGTATGTGTAAGGCGCCATGCAGGTAAACCCTTTTGATTTTGTCTATTCAGTTAGCTTCTAATGGCACTTTATCATGCGCTCTATCCCCGCTTGAGAAACCGACAGCCTATCAACAAACCAATGAATTTTGCGGTTTCCCCTTGTGATGCATTCTGAAAATGATTGATGAGTAAAAGCTAACATCATCATCAGAAGCCACTCGCAATGTCCGCAACGGGTTGTATTCTCACTTTGAGAGTTCAAATAACCGGTTTCAGTAAACGATTTCTATGCACAGAATGGAGTAAATAGACACACCATAACCGTTCTTTGATCAGACAACTGAATACCTCTTTGTCTTTTGCAGAGCGGGAACAACCTATTGATTTGAAAGAAGAAGCAAACAATCAATGGAATTCAAACGTGTCCTATTTTCCAACAAAATGTTTTCCAATCACTCCCAATAAGATATCTGAATTCAAACAACCAATATTTAAAGGCCGAATTATTTCCCCGTGAATTCACAGTTACGTGACTGAGATTAAGAAACAACCTCCTTCTACTTTTGAGTGGAAACAACAATTTTTATACATTCAGATAGTTTATCCATGATTTAAAAAATACATAATTCGGGATTTCAGTGGTCGTGAGAAGTAATCTACGGTAGCAAAGGATCTAATCAGTAGATTATTCCCCTGATAATGTCTAAAACCCATAATAAAAATAAATATTCGTTCAGCTGTAGCACTCTTACGGTGCCTAGCAGCCATGCCACTCACGGAAAGCACGAGTACTAGGATATTGCCAGGTTGCGCCAGCCTAGACAGGAGGCACCAAGAGGCAGACGATGGGTTCGAATCAAGAGCCTTCCGGTCAATAAATTCGCGCTCTAACCACTGAACCATCTCCTCCCACTCATTTAGGGAAGAAAAATGTTTGAAAAACAAACTGTGAGGATAATACCCTCTATTTTTTGGTGTGGTTTGGCATACCATTTTATAACTCTCTCATGCCCGTTGGCTTTGGAGGCAGATACACAAAGGCATCAAAGGCATCTCTCTCTATGACTATATCTTATAGAATGTGTGGTGCAATATGCTCTCCAAGTTTTAAAGCATTCACACTTTGGCGTCGCCAGCTGTTTCGCCCTTTTTCCAATTCATCAGTAAGGTGTAGTCTCAGTTAGTTAGTGGCGATTACTCACCTGTTACTCATCTTATGCCACCAATAATTTCGTTCCATTATATTGTATCCCCAAAATCATTGCAGAAAAATAAACACGTTTGTGGAGATATACAGCTCTCAGTGACTGGATTAGACTTGTGCACTGACTTGTAGAAACACCCTGGTGGAAAAACTTGAAGAATACAGTGGGGAAATTATAGCTGAATTTGGTGTTTTAGCGCCTGTCAGGCAAAACAGTCGAAGTGTTCTGAGATAACCGACATACTCGTTTGGCTACCCTCTCGTCATATCAGCATGTAAATGACAGTCCAGTGATTGGTAAAATGTGGGAAATTGAAGCAGTGATGTCTAGTTTATTCCATAAAGGAACCTGCATATAAAAAAATTAAAGTACGAGGAGCACGCGAAACACACTCGACTGCATATCAGTTTGGTTTTCGCGGGAGACCCAACTGAATCCCTCACATCAAGGGGGCGAAGCCGTTCGTGGGCTGTCGAAAATTTTTGTAACCTTATGAGTAGTGTGTTACGTCTATACAAGGAAAAAGCTTTTCTGCACTATGCAGAATAGCTTGAGAAAGCTTGTGAACAGGTGAAACTCAGTTGCTGCGGTGGATAAATTGTTCACGTTGCGATCACTGATTGGTAGGGGAATTAGAATAAGCTGTATTGCGTTGGTTAGCAACTGAAGAATGCTGTGTGCACTTGGTTGAGTTTAGTTTTCCAAGAATGTGTTTGCATCCACTGCGCAAATTCTAATTGTGAGCATAAATACAACGGATACATTATGACCATAACTCGGCCTGTTTCGTACCTATAGTGACAAAACTTGTCAAGAAAATAATGAAGTCGGAATCAGCTGGCTGAATGCGTTCCTTCAAGAAGCTAAATTAATAAATGGAACACAATGAACCGGCATTGTATGGAAAATCTAGTACTACGAACGATCGAGGGGGGTATGCAACCAAGTGAAGGTCATGCGAGCTTATGAGGCCGCGTGAAATACATCTCCTATAAACAACTCCCATTCAGTGTTGTGGTTGAGTCACTTCTGGATTTATGACGTTTGCTTCCTGCGTGAATGATCTTCTCGCTACCACCGATCGTGACTGGTCCTTATTTGTGAGGTCAACTACGTGACTTGGACATTGTTTCCAATTGAGAAAACAAAAATACAAAACTGTAGGGAGACCAAAGTTGGAGAGATGAACAAGCCAAGCTCAGTATGAACAGCGATATTCACTGTTAATTGCAACAACATGATACCGAATTTACTCCACCCATGCGTCCGCCTGCTCGTATAAACACGCACACATCCACTCGTAAACGCGCTCCTCAAAGACTGCTTTGTTCGTTCGGAGAACAATTTATGGGGATTCGAGAATCAAGAAAGGACACTTCGGTCAAGGTTGTTTAGTTGTTGCTCGGCTGTTTCGTTCCTCCCTAGAGTTTATCCCATCACCCTCATCCTTCGGTCCTGGTGATATTTTTGTTGACAGCCTGAGAACAAAGGCGCGAGGGACTTGTTGTTTGGAATGACCTTCGTTAGAATGTGACTGGGGAAAACAACATTTCCGCGTAAAACCACCCCTGCAGCGGCGAGATATTTTTTGACCATCCGAATTAAATTAGTGTGAGCATGTGAAGTTCACTTGGATACATCAACAAGTTAAAGGCACGTGTCTCCTTCAGAAGCATGTGCATGTTAATACGTTAGCGCGGCAGAAAGCCTCAAAACTCATGAGGCGCTCCACAAGCAAGATGATAAATTAGTTAAGATGGGAGATCTCGCCATGTGGACACTCAAGATGCGTGAAATTTTTTTCACCCCTGCAGCGGCGAGATATTTTTTGACCATCCGAATTAAATTAGTGTGAGCATGTGAAGTTCACTTGGATACATCAACAAGTTAAAGGCACGTGTCTCCTTCAGAAGCATGTGCATGTTAATACGTTAGCGCGGCAGAAAGCCTCAAAACTCATGAGGCGCTCCACAAGCAAGATGATAAATTAGTTAAGATGGGAGATCTCGCCATGTGGACATTCCAAAATGCGTAAATTTTTTTCAAGTTTGTTGGCGTTCATTATAAGCGCCAGTCTCTTGTAATTCCGACATATTTGATGGTGGAGTAAAATCAGTATAACTTGTAACATCCAAGCGAATTTCACTGAAGATCAGTGGTATTTTAACGGGTAGGTCCGCTTTTCATAGCATATTTTTGACCTTGTTTTTCTACGAAAGATCTGACTGGGTAACTTCGTAATCAGTGACTGGCTTCACATTTCCGCTTTAGGTAATTCTGATAGGAACTACAAGTAAGATAGTCTGGCACGACACTTTCATCATCAGCAATTAGGTCGCAAGTAAGATAGTCTAGCATGTGTTTTTCACGACACTTTCATCATCAGCAATTAGGTCTGTATTTGTAGCAGCACACGTTCATCAATATTTGCCGACGGAATCAGTGCGAAGTTTTGCGCTGCAGATTTTTTGCTGAGTTATGCAAAAACATTCGGATCTCTTTCAACAAATTAGTCAGAGTATTAGGAATTCGAAGCTCCCCTGAAAGATACGGTAAGTTGAGGAGAAATACTGCTGGTAAGAAAGGATGCTGACAATAAATACGAATAAGCTTAACCGTAACACCTTACTGAACTATCAAACAATTGCTATCAGCATTTACCAAACCCTACATTGTGTTTATATACCGTGGTACCGCACTAAGGAACACTTACAGAAATATGTCATTCAGTGGACATTTTCCTAGCATGTTACTCCCGAGTATGCATCCGCAGAACTTTAGCAAAGGATTTTGATCTTTGCCACGTGACCAATTCACCCCACGTAAGAGGAAGTACACTGGCAGTGGTTATTGTGGGTAGTATGGCTTCTGACTGTTGTTGCCACTTCGTGCCTGGTGATTCTTTTTTCAGTATTCAAGCACGACGAGAGAGGATACACAAGTGGTTAGTATGCCTAACACAGGTTATCGTAGTCCAAGACGAGCTAAAGACATGGTTATAATTTCTCCCGCAATAAGGCAGCATGATTTTTTCCCAGACGCCTCTCATCCGTAAATTTATCCGATCAGCGATGCCGTCTTCTTCAGAAGAATGGAGGGGCACACACTGGTCACCCAACGGTTGACCATGAGCGTCAGTGCATAAACTGATACGGTCAGTCAGTATTCTTATAAACGCGCCTAACGTGCGTAGTAATGGCAGAGGTCATATAATTAGACATTGATCTTTATGTACTTAGACTGGACTAGCACGCCTTTCCCTGAAACCACGTGCGTCAGACTAACGGGCCGTCGGGTTCAGTAAAGTTCCAATAAAGAAAAGGGAATTATTCACCGGGTTGTGGTGCGAACCGTTGATGCAAATGGCCAAGAACAACTCATCATTCATCATCATTGTCAGCTGTAATAACCGCGCACTTCATCTGTGTGCACGAGCGACGCTTGAAGAATTTAAACATGCTGTGTCTCACATCGCATACCATCTCCAACTTGTTATAGAAGAAAGAGGCGGTTTTTTCAGCATCTTTTCAAATATCGGTTTGTTTACAGTAAACCTCCATGATGCACGTGTGTCCACATAAAAAACGATAAGTGTTTAAATTACCATTAAAGTTTCAACATGGGTATTATTTTTTGCGTTTATTATGAGATACCCTGTAGTTAGTGAGCCTATAGTACCTATATGTGTATGTGCGGTTGTCTATCAACAGCAGATTAACCATAGTCAAACTCACACTTGACGGTACATTTTATGATTCGCTGTTTTATACATAAGCCATAGGGCCATCCTCAAATGTGGCGAGTCTAGCTGTCAAGCTTACTGCACAGTTTCGAGGATGGAGGTAAACGGTACAGTTAAACTTGCCTGTTGGCCAGCTTGGACTCCATAAGTTAGCAGAAGCCATTGATCAAGTCAGAATACGTTCTCGTTTCTTCCTAGATTCTGCAAAAGGTGGTCACCGCTGAGAAGAGAAGAGATTCGATAACCACAGAAGTGTTCGCGAAATCGTGGCTTGCACTTTGATCTATCAGCTAAACGCTGGAATCACGGGAGAGAGCATTCTTCAGGAGCAAATTGGAGTAGAAGCAGCCCGATTTGTAGTGTCTCATCTGCAAGAAAAATGTCGAATATGCGAACCATGTCTATGGTTACCTGAGGCCAAACTTGGTCACCTTTTATGTGCTTGGTGGTACCGGTGGACTGAGCTCTATAACTTCGTATTATCCTAAAGCCCGGTTCATGAAAAAAGGTTTTCCAGGACGAAATCTCTCGTTATCTTCATCTCTACTTCAGTTCATAATGTCCGCTCCTAAGACTACCATCTGTCCCACTTTGTCGGACGCTATGGAAATCAGAATGAACCATCTCCGGTAGTGTTCACACGACGCAGTGTCGTTCCCTCACTGAATAAAAGTTGTTTGAAATGCAAGTATGGATTATTCAAAACCGGCAGCCCAAAAGTCTGAACTATATGTGATTCATTTAACTCTTAAGTTTCTAATTGTTTATGACTCCTCAAATTCGACCACGTCTCCTAATTGACGGTTGCTTACCCACCAGGTTGGTCTTCCTTATCCCACACGTTTCCAGCTACCTTAAATGCCGATGGGATCTAACTATAGTCAATTAGGAACGGTTACTCAATTCCCTTTAAAGTTCAACACGAAAAGATGCACACAAAACACACCTGAA